AACCTACCCTCCCCTCCCTCCCTCCCTCCCTCCCTCCCTCCTCTCTCTCTCTCTCTCTCTCTCTCTAGTCCCCTTTTTTTAAACTGCTGGTCCTTTTGATCTTTTATGCTCCCCAGTTTTTTCCTGGCATTGTCTCTTAACAATCCTCAACTGTTTGCTGAGAAGTGGTTTAACTTGAGCCATTCTCTCATTTCCTGCTTGTTTTCATTACAGACCTCTATTAAGCTAAACCACTATATTCATACAGTAAACATCCCAATAATAGATTGATGTACAATATTTGTGAATTATTACACAGTATCTCCAATTTCTTCACATGGAGGAAGTCCCTTTTGGCTTCATGCGGGAAAGCAAGTACGGCATAGTCCTTGCAGGTCACTGTCTCCTCCTTGCCATTGCATTATTGAACTTAGACCTGTACCTAGAGCACCTCTTGCATTCCCTTCAAAACTGCCATTTGCCCTTCCTGTATGCCTGTTTAGCAACTGACTTCTGTACTAAGCCTCACTGCTTGAATCCACCCCCTCAAAAAGAGGGAGGGATTAACCACACAAAGACTTCAAACGCAGGGGGGTAGGGGCTGATCACAGACGCAAGGTTCCAGCCACATGGTCCTCGCAGAGATACAAATCAATCCTGTCTCACCTGTCCTATTCAGGTCCCAGAAGCCAAACCACAATGACCCTCATGGAGACCAAACCACAGACCAATCACAACACTCACCAAGTTCCCATTTGTTCTGTTTCATTGATTTGTCGTGTTTCAGTTTTGCAGTATTAATTTATAATGAAAATGCAAGCAGCTTAATATAATATTAATTTGTAGGATGGAGGCCTGCTTCTGAATAATCCCACTGCTTTGGCTGTCCATGAGAGCAAATGCCTTTGGCCAAATGTCCCACTGCAGTGCGTAATATCGTTGGGCACTGGTAGATATGAAAGCGAGAGGAAGAACAGCATCACGTACACAAGTTTGAAAACCAAACTTACAAATGTTATCAGCAGTGCAACTGACACAGAAGGTTAGTATCTAATGATTTGTCGTCTTGTCTCTAATTGTTTTTAACTATTTATGGTTCTCAGGATGTCACTTGTTATCATTAGAAATACAGTACATCAGAAAACATATAATACCATGAAAATATATGCAATAAAGAAAATGTAAATGTGTCTTGTGCATTTTTAGTCCAGGGAAAATTTCATAACCTTTTTTTCAAATTGGGATTACATTGTTAATCTCTTGCCTGCCATATGCAGTTGGATTTCAGGTTTAGTGTAGATGAACAATCAGTTTAGACCAAAGCAGGAAAATGGAGATTTAAAGAATAATTTTTTTCAGTAATTTGTTTTCACCATACGTCATAAATATTTCCATTTTCTTGCTATATTTTAAATTTATCATTTTCCCTCTCTTTATTACCTCTGATATTGGCTTTTTATTTTTAGTTATTATTATGGATGTACTGGGTAATTATAGAGCTTGTGAAATATGCATTTAAATTATTTCTCTGAGTCTGCACCTTGAGTATGCTATTACTAAGCTGTCTTTAATTGATGAATACATCACATCTCAACAATGTAACCATAATGCTGATGAGGCATTAGGAATACAAAACTACATCAAGAAAGGTTACAAACCCTAGAAATCAGAATAAGAATTTGGCTGAGAATTATAGTAATCAAACAGTGTTTGTTTGTTTGTTTGTTTTAACTTGGCCTTCAGAAGAAGAGCAATCCTGGAAATCATTTCAGGAGTAAAGAAAATAGGGGACACTTTCTGTGTATATAGTTTCAACTGTTCGCAGAGAAATATTAAAGCAGTTGATCCAGAACATTGATTTGTCTTCTGAAACTTGTGACACTTTTAAAAACGCCCTCTTCACTCTAAGGACCAAGTTCTGTCTGTCAATGAGTGTGTCTTTGATGTCAATGGGAGCCATTCACACACCTCTGAGAGCAAAATCTCACCCAGGCATGGGAGCACAATAGAATTACATAATTAGATGGTCGTACCTTTCTCCATTTTATAAGCTGCAGAAATGTGGATTCTGAAAGAATGTTTTGTCCGTATCAACACTTATTGGAAACCCAGACTCAGAGTGAACTGATACACAGTGATTTAAAAAGTACCCACACGTCTTTATAGTTCTCCTGCTGCTTAGTTCCATGTAGGAGCAGAGCAACAATGTGAGACTACTCAGTAAGGCAAGCCGGATTTGGTCTCTTATTAATTTTACTTTGCCTCTCATCAGTGTAAAATGGTGAAGTGGAGAGGTAGCTGAGTTGTTCACCTAGTGTAGAAGTAGGAAAGGAAGAGAAGCTTATCTAAGCAATTTGGTGATATGAGAGCTACTATGGCTAAGAAACAGTGGAGAGGGAGGAGAGATTGAAGGAGGTGATTGGTGGGGGTGAAGCTGCTGTGAAGTTAATTAGTCTGCAAAAGCAAGCCGAATTTGTAGGACTGCTTTTCCCTTGATTTGTCAGAAACTTAATTAGGATTTAACATTTTACTATCTTTGTTTTAAACCAGAAGTCCATACTATGTTGGATGGCCTGTTACCTCCAGACACCTATTTCAGATTTAATCCTTTGATGAATGAAGACATACCTCTGGATGAAAATCGGAAGGAAAAACTCAATCAGTTGCGGACAGATGGAATACGGTATTTAGAACGAAATGAAGAAAAAATTAAAAAAGCTGCCAAAATCCTAACACAAGAAAAAACAGTTTTGCAGAAATTGAATGAGTGGATAAGGTTAAAAGCCTATATGTGTGAAGGACTTCCATTTTTTTCCAAACTGTGAATATATAATTAACGAAAACTCATATATACCGTTCCAGAGAATCCAGCCAATTCTATAAGGGATCTGTGCATACATCGTTACTGTATAATTCTGGATAGCTGTCAAAGTCCAGGGAATGTTGGAGAAAGCACTTCTCAGTCAAGCACTGGTATAGTGCTGCCTGCTTTGTACACACATCCTTGGAATAAGGTTTCGTGGTGTTCCTTTTTTGAGATTTAGAAACATTACTGTTGTACTGGTTAATTTTAGTGAAATACTGGTGGTTTTTTTTGGCTGTTCATGCAGGCCTATTTTAGATTCATTACACCTAGCTCACTTTGTACCACCTAAGATTAACAATTATGAAAAACAAATGTGCTATACATTTTTGTAAATATATACCATAATCATGTTGACAGTAACACATTGTTTATTTACCTATTACTGAATTTAAAATAAAAACAAAAATTAAACTGATTTCTATAAGTATATTGTAGTCTCTGCAATATATACTACAAGCTGTTTTACTGCCAGTGAAGGTAATATCCTTTCAGTTTATGAAAACCTAAAGCTGGGCCCACGTAAATGCACTTTTCCATTTCAAAGATAATGTTAAAATAATTTGTTTTTAATATGCATTTTTTTGTGTGTAACAGTTAACTTTGTCCAGTAAGATGTTTGCTGATTATAAAAAGGTATAAAATACTCAAAATCAACCAGTATTTTTTCTGTAATTTTAAGATGTGCTGTGCATTAACTTTTATAGGTTCAACTCCAGAATAAATTATTCGTTGTTTGAAAATAACTCTCAAACCTCATCCCAGCAAATATTCTTGTCACATAATAAAGGAAATAAACTCTTGAAATAATCCACTTCTCATGCTGCAGTAGTGACTTTCTTAACATATTGAAATCTCAGAATCGGATAGCACCAAACCTTAGAAATCAGTGTATATACTTTTCCTGTAAAGATGATGCACGGAGTAAATAAGTTCAAATAAAATGTATTTTCTTTTATGCCTTGAAATCCATGTGTGCATTCCCCCAGTATTCGGTTGACACTAGTGTTGTGTGTTTATATGTAGCTTAAAAGGTTGCTTTTGGAAAAAATATTTTGTTTTAATTTTATTATATCCATCTTTGTGGCCCATTTCACTAGCCTTATTTATATGATTTCTGTGAGAATATGTTAAAGAAAATGACAAGTATAATTGGACCCCTAGAAACGGTGTAGCTGTGTGAAGATGTGGGGAATCTGTCTATGTACAATTTATGAATTCCAGTTTGAGATTATAAACTCTGTGTGTGTCGTTATCAAACTACAAACTTCATTTTGGAAGTGGAGCTAGCATGCCTTCTCTGTTGTCTTTTTTTTCCTCCATGTTATACTGAAATTCCAAGGGGTAGTGTCACAGGGCTAACGATGGAGGATCATTAAACTTTGATGGTCCTCTAGTCTCATAGACGCACCCTGGCACAGAGAGTTAGTTTCTGTCCAAAAGAACCAGTCTGCCCAGACAGAGCAGGGGGTCACTTGCCAAAGGGTACTGGCAGTTATTATATTAAAAAAAAAAGAGGTCTTTTGCAGGGCATTTTAGAGAGGGAGAAGAGACCAGAAGCAAAAGGCTGGGTGCCAGAGTAAGAGGAGACTCCATATTCCAGGGGAGAAGCCATGTGCAAGATGAAAGTAGGAGAGGAAGGATCCATTCCTAGGCTCCTTAAGAGACGGGCCTAAGCCCAAAGAACACTTGAAGTGAAGAAACAAAGGCAGGGAATAGCAGATAGGTGTTTTAGTATTTTGTTTAAATCTGTATATTTTTATGCTATATAAAGTAATAGCAATTGTGTTAAAACTTTGCAAAGCCCTGTGTGTTGTGTGCTTCAACTATTGTGTTTCTGGAGTGGTAAGTAGTAAACCAGAATGCCCACAAGGTTGAAGCTCTGGGAAAGGGTGTGCTTAAGCTACTGCGGAGTTTGAGGGAGGCAGCAGTAGTCTTAGGACAAAGGCAGTGGGGCCTCAGCTCTCAGAAGGGGGTGCTTGACAGAGAATCTGTACCCCTCAGAGTGTGCCCAAAAACCCAGAGGCAGTCAGGAAGCCTAAAACCCATGAGTCAGGCGCAATGGGAGCCAAACACAGCAGTGTTGTGAGTGTCCAGCCCAGAGAAATTTACTAGGGCTGTGACAAGCTGCAATGGCACTTTTTTCTTTTTTAAACCCACCATGTGAATATGGTGTTACTGGAAATCTAGGAACTTCTAGGTGCCTAAATACCTTTAAAAATCTAGCCTTCCGTCTTGCATCTTTTTGTTCACTTGAGTAGCCCTAATGACTCTAGTGGGACAATTTGTGTCAGTAAAAGTTGCAGGATCCGTCCCTGGGTCAGGCTTGTCTGATGGGTGCTTTAAACATGGATAAAATATTGAACTTCAAAGTGTTAGTATGTCAAGAAGCAAAACCGCATTGGAGGCCTTTCAAAAGCCCGTCTTCCATTTTGCCTTTTAGGAGTGGATAGCGGAGTAACCAAAGTCTAGATCTTCTGTTACATAATTCAGTTACCCAGAATGACTCACTTCCTTTGACTGCCTACTGCTGTGTATGTCTTTTTAAATCATAGGTAGCTGCATTAGCCTGTCTCTAATAACCCTTTTGAGGGAGTGGCTCTAAGAGGGATTCAGAGCAGGAAGAGGAAGCTACTACTGAGATTGTGCATTCCTCTCAGCAGGGTGCCACATATCTCATGGTGTGATTAGGGGAAAACAAAATCTAGGCTTTCAAATTTCACATGAGAGACTCTTGTCACCTCTCTGCCCCACCTGTTCTTCCTTCCTCAACCTTTATAAGACCCTCCACGATTTCCAGGTTTCTTTTTGTCTTTGAAGCTAGTAAGTTCTGTTAAAGACCACGTGTAACCCTGGGCTAAAGTGTTTTAATGATCGCCATGATACGAATAAATTTCAGATTCCTGAAGGCCAAAGAAGCCTTTGTAATTTGTGGCACCAGAGGATGGGAGTGAGGTTGGGTTTTTCCTTGATCTGGGGAAAGATTAGAAAAATAAAATGCCACAGTAATTGGGTGAAAGAATGAAGTATATTGGTCATTTGTCATTTTTTATTATGAACACTCCTCATGCACCAGAAAGGGTTCCCAGAACAAAGACTAACGTTAACTACTTAAAAAGAACATTTCTATAGTCTTTGCTATAGCCTGGTTTGCCCTTTAAGGCAAGCTGGGCTCAGCCTTGCTGTGACCAGACAGTTATCCCCCAGCTGAGGCTGATGGACTTAATTATATGACTGACCCTAGCTTGAAGAGATCAGAGAGGGGGGTTACTTAAACAGAGCTGTGAACACAGGCAAAGGAAGTGATCAAGAGAGAGGAGCAAGGGGTGTTTCTTCTCTGGAAAGAGTCTGGGGAATTCATGCTGGAAGAGCCCCTCAGGAAGCATGTTAGGTTCTTGCGAAGGAGGCGGTGAGAGATTGCCTACAGGTAGTAGGGAAAGCCCTGAAGAAAACTGCCATAATCTCTGGGGAAGGACTGGGAAGACTCAGACAGCAACAGGCCATTGTGGGGCCAAGGAAGTGGTCATTAGGGGTCACTAGAGGCTAATTCCCCTGCAATGCCATGACCGGACACCAAGGAGTGCTACAGAGGTAAGTGCAACCTATAGGGCCTTGGTGGGGCAAAGAATTGTACAGTTCCTATCCTCTCTTCAGGATCTTCACCCTCAAGTATCCTTAAAGCCAAAGGAATGGCAAGAATCTGTTTAGTTCACTGGCAGTCTTTCCTGTGATCTGTGGAGTAAGTAAGGGGAGGTTAAAAAAAAAAAAATAAAACTATACACCACTGAAGGAGGCACAGGAGGTGTTTGATGAAAAGACAAGCCATTCTGTCAATGTACTTTGGCAAAATGGACATTTTAGGATAAAGTATGGCACAGTGCCTACCTCACTTTTCTCCCCTCCCTGTGGGTTAGATGGCTCTCAACCTTTATTTGTAACACTTGCAAATTCACTTTGCTCCCAAAGGAGTTCTGCTTTTGCTTCAATTGGAGCTGGAACTGGATTTTATTCTATTAAATCTTTTCTGCTACTAGCCTGTATCTGGTCTTTTTTTGTAACAATTTTTCTTCTATTCTTTATAGTGTAACAACATTATTTACTGTAGCTCTATTTCTCTCGTTAGGTGTACTTATAAATTATACATAAAAGTGAGCTGAGCTGCAGAGTAGAATTAATTCTGACTCTTTCACACCATTACACACACACATTCCTAAGACAAATGTACAAAATCCTTTCATAGTAAACACCTTGATCCTCAGGACAAAATGCACTGTACAAGCATGAATTAGGAGCATGATTTCCCCTTTGGGCCAAGTGAAAATATACAGGGACCATACATTTGTGATTGCCTATTTAGTTACTTCAAGAAAAACAGTAACAGTTTATTGGAATCTCATCTGCTCTGGACATGTTCCCACAACCTTACACATAAATTAAGATTGTATATTCATGTGGAGCTCTGGTGCACTTTGGTATGCTCACAGAGGTGCCAGAAAAAAGTGGATTAGATGGCTCTCAACCTTTCCAGACTACTGTACCCCTTTCAGGAGTTTGATTTGTCTTGCGTACCCCCAAGTTTCACCTCTTCACTTGCTTACAAAATCAGACATAAATATACAAAAGTGTCCCAGCACACTATTACTGAAAAATTGCTTGCTTTCTTATTTTTACCATATAATTATAAAATAAATCAATTAGAATATAAATATTTGTACTTGCGTTTCAGTATGTCGTCTATAGAGCAGTATACACAAGTCATTGTATGAAATTTTAGTTTATACTGACTATGCTAGTGCTTTTTATGTAGCCTGTTGTAAAACTAGGCAAATATCTAGATGAGTTGATGTACCCCCAGGAAGACCTCTGCGTATCCCAGGGGTACACATACCCCTGGTTGAGAACCACTGGGTTAGATAGAATTGCAGGAAAAATTATAATGACTTGGAGGATGCCCTGGAGGATGTCTTAATTAACTGCATAGGTTGCATTGAGCTGTGAGGGATCACAAATACTTTGAACAATGGGATTTAAATGCCTTATGATTTTGTTAAATTGAAGAAATTGACTAAAACCAATAAAATGAGACTCTAACAAGAACAAATGTAATTTTGATCATGGGGGAAGAATAATGCAAAAGCACAAACTGGAGGCACACAGCTTGGTGCAGCACCACAGCGAAAGCTCTGGGAGATATCACGGTTAACAAATTGAAAAAGAATCAACAAAATGACACTGCTGAGGGAAAAATAAACCTCTAGTATCATATCATAGGGTTGTATGAATAGGAATATGTAGATGGAAGAAAAAGATTTTAATCTTGCTATGCTTAGCATGTAAGCCCTCAAACAGCATATTGTAATAGGTTTTGTTACCACATTTCTTTAAAAAACGACAAACTGGAGAGAATAACAAAGGGTGGGAAAACAAGAAAGACTGAATCAGAAAAGGCAGAGAGGTACTGAAATTTTCAACCTAGAGAAAAGATGGCAATGCCCAATTTTAGACAGTGGACAAAAATAGATGTCAAATTTAAAGGTGAATTAAAATGCTTTAAAAGAAAGCGTGATATCCTTACCATTGATTTCACTGCAGCCAGGATTTCACCTTGTGTGTAGTACAAACTATGGGACTACTTCTGGAGTAAGGTACTAATCAGAATTAGGGTTGTCAATTAATCGCAGTTATCTCACACGATTAACTCAAAAAAATTAATCACGATTAATTGCAGTTTTAATTGCACTGTTAAACAATAGAATACCAATTGAAATTTATTAAATATTTTGGATGTTTTCTACATTTCCATATATATTCTATTCTGCGTTATAATTGAAATCAAAAAGTATACAAAAACAACAATGTAAAACTTCAGAGCCTACAAGTCCACTCAGTCCTCCTTGTTCAGCCAGTCACTAAAGCCAAACAAGTTTGTTTACATTTACAGGAAATAATGCTGCCCTCTTTCTAGAATCACAGAAAATTAGGGTTGGAAGAGACCTCAGGAGGTCATCTAGTCCAATCCCCTGCTCAAAGCAGGGCCAACCCCAACTAAATCATCCCAGCTGGGGCTTTGTCAAGCCTGGCCTTAAAAACCTCTAAGGATGGAGATTCCACCACCTCCTTAGGTAACCCATTTCAGTTCTTCACCACCCTCCTAGGGAAATAGTGTTTCCTAATATCCAACCTAGACCTCCCCCACTGCAACTTGAGACCATTGCTCCTCGTTCTGTCATCTGCCACCACTGAGAACAGCAGAGCTTCAGCCTCCTTGGAATCCCCCTTCATGTAGTTGAAGGCTGCTATCAAATCCCCCCTCACTCTTCTCTTCTGCAGACTAAATAAGCCCGGTTCCCTCAGCTTCTCCTCATAAGTCATGTGCTCCAGCCCACTAATCATTTTTGTTGCCCTCCGCTGGACTCTCTCCAATTTGTCCTCATCCTTTTTGTAGTGGGGGGCCCAAAACTGGATACAATACTCCAGACGTGGCCTCACCAGTACCATATAGAGAGGAATAATCACTTCCCTCGATCTGCTGGCAATGCTCCTACTTTTGTAGCTGTCATTGCAAGGTATTTACATGCCAGATATGCTAAAAATTTGTTTGCCCCTTTGTGCTTTGGCCACCATTCCAGGGGACATGCTTCCATGCTGATGACGCTTGTTAAAAAAAATAATGTATTAAATTTGTGACTGAACTCCTTGGGGGAGAATTGTATGTCCCCTGCTCTGTTTTACCTACATTCTCCCATATATTTCATGTTATAGCAGTCTCAGTTGACCCACCAAATGTGGTTCATTTTAAGAACACTTTCACTGCAGATCTGACAAAATGCTAAGAAGGTACCAATGTGAGATTTCTAAAGATAGCTACAGATAGGGTGACCAGACGTCCTGATAAAATCGGGACTGTCCCAATTTTTCGGTGTTTGTCCCGATATTTCGCTCTGCCGGCAGCACTCTGCATTTTTTTTTTGCTCCACCGGTGGACTTCCCCCTCCCCCGGTGTCTGGATATTTTGTTCCTCTCATCTGGTCACCCTAGCTACAGTACTTGACCCAAGGTTTAAGAATATCAAGTGCCTTCCAAAATCTGATTGGGACGGGGTGTGCAGCATGCTTTCAGAAGCCTTAAAAGAGCAACACTCCAGTGCGAAAACTACAGAACCCGAACCACGAAAAAAGAAAATCAACCTTCTGCTGGTGGCATTTGACTCAGATAATGAAAATGAACATGTGTCGGTCCACACTACTTTGGATTGTTATTGAGTAGAAGCCATCATCAGCATGGACGCACGTACCCTGGAATGGTAGTTGAAGCATGAAGGGACATATGAATCTTTAGCACATCTGGCACATAAATATATTGCGATGCCAGCTACAACAGTACCATGAGAACACCTGTTCTCACTTTCAGGTGACATTGTAAACAAAAAACGGGCAGCATTATCTCCTGCAAATGTAAACATACTTGATTGGCTGAACGAGAAGTAGGACTGAGTGGACTTGCAGCCTCTAAAAATTTATAGTGTTTTATTTTTGAATGCAGTTTATTTTGTACGTAATTCTTCATTTGTAAGTTCAACTTTCATGATAAAGAGATTGCACTATAGTACTTGTATTAGGTGAATTGCAAAATACTATTTCTTTTGGTTTTTTTACAGTGCAAATACTTGTAATTAAAAATAAATATTAAGTGAGCACTATACATTTTGTATTCTGTGTTGTAATTGAAATCAATATATTTGAGAATGTAGAAAACATCCAAACATATTTAAATAAATGGTATTATATTATTGTTTAACAGTGCGATTAATCGCAATTAATTTTTTTTAATCATTTGACAGCCCTATTCAGACTGAATAAAGGTAGCAAAATCTGTCCCTAAAATAATATAATTTACACTGTACAATGAATGTGTAAACTTAACATTTACAAATACATTTGAAAAGTAGAGTGAAAGGAATTTTACCTGCCAGAAGTGTGTTCAGAATTGGGTGTGTCTTGTGCAAAAATAATCAATAATGGCATGGGGGGGAAAAGTGTAACGGGTGAAGTTCCCTGCTTAAATTTAGATGAAGATGGTATCAGGTCTTTTGCAGAAGTGACACAGAACTCTTATCTCATCCTGAGAGGCAATAGGAAGGAAAAGCTCAAACAAAGGAAGAAACAGGTATAGATATCTTGTTTATCATTCTTAAGCCTACCCATTTAACCACTAAGCTCCTTGGATCTCAAAGTCTTTTAAAATTAATAAATATAAATATAACAGGATTTCCTTTATCTTTATGCTACCCCAGAGACATAGGAAGTCCACAGGTCATCTGTAACTCTTCAATAACATGAGTGGAAGAGAATGCGGGGGCAGTTTCACCTGCCAGGGGAGGGAAATAAAGTTTGTCATTTGTTTTTTAAGGTCCTATGTTTGAAGCCTCTTTTATTGTCCTCAGAACATAAGCAAATCAGGCAGGAGATCCCTATTCAAATCCTTTCTTCTCCTCTAGCAAGGAGGGGAGAATTGAACCTGACTCTCCTACATGCTAAGTAAGTGCTCTAACCACTAGACTAAGAGTTATAAGGTGAGCATCATTTCTTCCAGCTGGATGTTGAATGGGACCTGATCCACTAGATGTGCACAGAGGCTGCCTACCAGATCAGGCCCCACACGAAGTAGAGTGGCCCAAGTAGCTAGCCAAGTTTAGGGCCCTGCAAGGTTGTTTCCAGTAAGATGAGAACCTCAGTTATACGAGTCAGGTGTTCTTGATGTAATATTGTTTCTTTACCAAAAAAGAAGTCCTG